CCTGCACATCCTGTGTCCATACCAGTGGCTGTGTGTTTGTTTGGGAAGTAAAGGCCGATGGGATGGGCTGCTTTTGGGGGAGAAAGACGGTGAACTTTTTCTGATGGTTATTTCTTCCTGACAGGAACTTCCCACACATAAAACTTCATTTAGGCAGTTTTTCACATAGCAGGGAAACAAGAATACGTTCCCTTCGTTGCAGGCAATTACAGACAGTTTTAGTTAACTTGCTCTAACTGAGAAGTTTGAACCAAGACTGAGAGCTTGACTCCATAGTCTGTAGTAAGACGTTTTGAGAGCTGATGGATTGATTTGACAAATTTACAGCCTCTTACAGATTTTCAGGTTAAAATTCTACTTCTAGGCTGACAAATCAAGTTCATGAAGTTCATTAATTTGAAAAAATGCTTCCTAAACATTCTCATTCATTTTCTGGTCATATTTTTCCAAATCATCCATTTTTCCATCATTTTCAGCTGATACTGAAATCATTTTCAGGATGGAGATGTGAGTGTATCCAGGCTGCTGTCAAAGATGTTTCCAGGGAATCTATGTGATCTCAGTGTTATATTTTATCTGTTTTCTCTTGGAATTTCAGAAGGATGATTCCCAGAGACTTCTGGAAAGCTTCAACTCTGATGAAAGAGAGCACACACTCCTGAAAAGTCAAGCAGAACCATATACATCAAAAGAGGAAATTCTGCTGGAGGTAAAGCTCTGCTTATGTTAGCGATTGTCTCTTTTGCTGCACGTAGCAATGAGCACATTCAGGGCCTGGTCCAAACTGTCTTAATTTTATTGGATTTGGAATTGAGTCCTTAAAATGTGTTCAGAAAAAGCACAAGAAGGAGAGTGGGAGCTGATGGCTGCTTGTGAATGCAAGCATTTCAGGCACTCATTTCCCTTATGAATTCCATTTCTCTTGGGGGACTCTTTTTGGATATTTTAATCAAGATCCTGAGTTCTTTTTGAACAGGGGCTGTCTCTACATTGTCCTTAATTTCAAAAGGCTGATGAGAAAAGTTAACACTATTGACATAAGAAAAAGTTCTTAAGTACTGAAATCAGTGCTGATAGTTGATAGTGGATTGTTTCCTGGAGAAGGAGATTTATTAGAGAAATTTTGACAGTAACAAAGTTCTCTCATCAGGTTCAATCTGGAACAAATACTTTTTTTCTAGAGCCTCCTTAAATGCTCCAACTCTCAGTTGGGCTGAGTAGATCAATGGAGGGAGAAAGCATAAATGAAGTAAAATGAGTATGTTTGTGAACAGCAGCATCTTCAATGGCTTTCTCACATAGAAAGTTCTCCCATCAGGTACCAGCTGAAGATACAGTGCAGAGGTCAAATGACCGCAAATACTGAAACACCAGTGTGTTGAGCTGGGATTCAAGGACAATTAGAGAAACAATTTTGAAAGAAAAGTAGGAGAAGGTATAAACTTAACCCACCCTCAACTGAAAATTGAAACAACTTTTTTTTGTGTGTGCAATAAGCTCAAAATAACTGGAGAACCAGTCCTATTGTGTAGTTGTGAGATCACTGGCTTTCACCCAAAGCTGGTGAACCTAAAGGTTGTGAGTTAAACTGCATATTTAAAAAAAATGTGCAGTTCAGCTAACTCATTCAGTCTATTATACGTAAATTAAATACATGCAGAAGGTGTCAGTTCAAGCCAGCCAGTCTGGTGCTTAGCTTGTAATGAGAACTGGTTTCAAGACAAAGAGAAGATAGACATTACTGTAAACGTTTTACTGTTGGTTTAAATTCTGACAGGTAATTAATCTTCATTTCAGTTTTGTGATTAGGAATGGTGACAAACCATGGCCAGTCATTTTGCTTGAGTTAAAGTACAGCATAACAAGAGAGCATGAATTAGATTCTCTTTTGGAGTGTAAATCCTGTGAGAGAACTTACATAATGATATAAGTTTATGCATATTACCGGTCCTTTTGAAATGGGATCATGGTCTTTTAAAGATGATCATTCACAGCTATATCCATTTCCCAAACACGTTAACTCATTTATAACACATTAAGAAGTAACCTTGTTATTTCGAGGGACTGTCTCCCACCTATTTGTCTAACTACTGAAGTTAACATATGTGGTTTTTTCTATTCATTTGTCCCAATTCCCAGAGGCTTTTGCTGTTTCTAGCATCAAATTGATAGTTCATGAAGAAGCATAGATGGAAGGTGCTTTTAGTTAGGTTAGAGCACTTCAGAAAAACAGATATTTTCATTCTGAGACCTTCTACATTGCAGTAATACCATAATTACTGTATCAATAATAACTGTGTATTACTCATGCCTGCTGAGAAGCAGCATGCATTAGTTCTAGCACTCTGCAATGTGGCTTTACAGCTTTGGAGAGAAGCTGCTCTGCCTCCAGCCATTGCAGAGCAATGTCTCTGTCGGCTTCTATCCCTGAATATGTATTACAGCAGTTGTTCTACTCAGTATGAGCAATGTTTTACATGCTGACCCTGTGCTTTTAACTTTATCAGTAAATCTAAAAATGACTTCTGGAAATAAATGAGGCGGAGATGAAAAGGTACAATGATAAAAGTCTAATGAATTACATAGTTTGCTCTTCTCTTCCCGTCTCTATTTTTAGACTCTATTAGTGCTTTGATATTTCCTAGAAAAATCTATATAAAGAAAATTGTGTTTTGACAGATTGGATTCTTTCACTTCATATGACAAAACCAAAAAGTTAGAATAGGAAACCTGCTAAAGCTTGCTTTTAAGCATTCTGTCTGTTGCTTATAGCCAACCTTTTATTAAGCCATATATAACCTCACAAAACAAAGCTGATTATCCCATAAAAGTGCATAAAGCAGTGGCTAGAAAAGAGGAGGAGCAGAAAGTCAGATTACATGATACAGCAGATTGTATGAAAAGAATGCATTATCTATAAAAAGTTCTTCAGAAGAACATTGGTATTTTCTGTAGATTATAGGTAAGGGTTGTACTATAAAAGTTCCTCCTGGAAAAAATGAATGACTGGTTTTGTTTAATCTATTGTTTCTTTAATTAAATTGGAACTCAGAATTTATAGCCATGATATCTGTGGAGCTTATCCTTTAGAAGTTTCTATTATTAAGGTAATTCTAGTCTCTCATGTCAAAACTTTAGTTCCTTTTAAAGCAGGGAGGGGGAACGAAATGAAAATAACTTGTGAATACCAGCTATTGCCTATTTTCCCTTGCAGGAGTAAAAACATTTTGAAGCAGTGGTAATGACAGTGTTCTCTTTTCTGGATTTCATATTCTGAATATGAGAAGACTTCTTGTGCCAATGCAGAAACAGTCAATAAATAATTAGTTATCAATGGGAATTTCTAAGTTGTGTAACCAAAAGAGGCATGCAATTCTTACAGCGAACAATCATCAGGTCTACTGCTGTTCCCAAATGGTTTTCTGTTCTTTTCCATACAGGAAAGTGAGTCTCCTCTGAACAGTAACATCACGGCATTTGCATTAAAGGCAAAAGTGATCTATCCCATCAATCAGAAATTTAGGGTAAGGTTTTAGATTCTACTTGTAAAAATTAATGATAATCATTCTGTGTCAGAGTAAATTTGCAGAGTCAATTAACAGAAGAAAACTTACTGCCCATCTGCTTAATAGGGATTTTTCTTTGTTTATAGTCCGTTGACTCAGGGCTTATTTTGTAAGGCATCATCTGCTTACAACTCCTCCTGAAACTTGCAGTGCTTTTCATGGTCTCTGGTCAATTTTTACTGTTGTCAAGAGACCCCTTCTTCCCATTAACATAAATGGAAGTCGAGTCTGTCCAAGGAGACACATGAAAAACCCCACAAGCATCTGCCCTTCAGTAGGAAAACAAACACTAAGCAGATAACCAGAACAGAAGAATGCTTTTCTGGGCAATGCAGGAACCTGTCGGTATGATGAATCTAAATATATGTGGAAACACTTTTTCTGTGTATATTGCTTAATTTTTTGCTTGAAAGCAAATACTGCAAATTGGTGAGATGTTTAGCTCCTTATTGCGTTGTATTAATTGACCTTGTAAATTTTCTTTGACTGTAGCCTTTGGCAGATGGCTCATCCAATCCATCTTTGCATGAGAATCCAAAGCAGGCAGTTCTGCCTAATCAGGTCATGGAGACATCTATGTCAGGCAGCCTGGGATCCCTGAGCCAGGGAGACAAAGAGGACTGCAGTTCTTCCACAACAATACATTCCACAACAAGCGATGAAAGATTTCAGGCTCGAGCCTTCCTCAAGGTGACCAGCTTCCCTGAAGTGCTAACATGTGAGAGGTAAGCAGTAAACCTGCCCTCGTGTTTGGTCATTTCCTAGAATGCGTCAGTAGTTTTCAGAACAATCACTAAAGGTCTGGTGTAAACTGAAGGCTGAGCTTGAATGCATACATTCACCACATAAAGACAGGACTATCTGCGTATGACCCTAAAAAGTGACTGGAGAGACTGAAGAAATGCATCATGTTGTATATTGAAAGTGAAGTTGTTCTTTATGCAATTCTGTGAATCAGAACTTTGGCAAAAACAGTCTCATAAAACTGTGTGTCACTGTTACAATAAGGAGATCCCTTTGATTTGGCTTGTATGTTCAGTTCACAAGTGCAGTGACGTGCTCAGCTAGGGATGGAGTCCTCTGCGCAGTACAACATCAAGTTACGCAACAGGTGCCTCGAGAACAGCAAGTGGCAGTGGTCTGTTCTCTCTGTTTTAATGGGAACTACTCCTCATGTCATGTGGTGGGAAAACTTCCTTTCTCAGAAACTCCATTGATGAGCAGGTAGAGCTAATCAAAATGGATTACCAGCTTTGGATTTCTTTCAGCTGCACAACAGCAAGAAACCACTAGGTGAATACATACGTGTCTGTATTCTCATTAGCAAGAATAAGGAAATCATGTTTCTGTCACTATGAGGACTCAGGAAGGCACTAGTGATGGAGAATGTTTTCAAAATGCCCACTCTAATTGTAGTTGTTTTAATTTAAAGCTTTGGTTTCCCTTTGTTATAGTCACTCATGCCTATATTTATCATGCCTTTTTGTAAAGGGAACTGCAACTCCAGCTTAAAAAAAGCACTATTTTGTTTTGCTTACTTTTGTGTAGATATATTTCATCTGAAAAAGAAGACAACGTAAGAGTAAAGTGACTTGACAGCTGTTGTAGGGGCAGTGCTTTTAGGAGAATTTAGTGGTTAAGTGAATCTATTATATGGTGTTGCTCTGTTATGTGACCTTCATTTAGATTGATATTAACACTTTTTAAATCTTTGTTTTAGCTTTGATGTTAAGCTCTGCCTTTGCAGTCTTATTTTAAAAGATCTCATGCTTCTTGATACTGAACTCAGGAAAGAAAAACACGTGGTAGGTATTCGTTTCTCATTTATAGCTATTTTTTTTGAACAGCTTAGTTGAATATCAGTTTAGGAAATAAACTACTGACTAGCTGGGAAGTAGTGTAGCAGAGTTGCATCTCTACAGTACTTTATTTTTTCTCTTTGTTCTGTATATATATGAACTTCACAAAGGAGTCAAATATAAAGAAATATATTGGGCTTTGAAATACAGGAGGTCAGACCGGATAATACAAAAATTTGGCTTTAAACTTTACTCCAGAGGACAACATACAGCACTTGAGGGTCATAAAAATAGAAAAAATACATATTTAATATATGTGTTTATATTTTAAGGACAATGCTTGTGCGTTGCAACTCAAAGGACTCCAGGCTCTTTAAATAAAGTTGAAAGTTCAACTGAATCAGTACCATTATCATATGTGCAATAGTCCTGATTTTGTATGACGGAGGAATTAAGGTACCCATTTAAACCATAGATAGCTAACTACGTTAAGTCACAGTGTCTAAAGCTGAGAGAAAAAACCAAACCAAACCAAACCAAAAACCAAACAAACCAAAAATGAATGTACACAATTGTTTATGGTGACTAGTTATGGTCAAGTACAGAATCATCACCATTACTGAGTTTTAGCTTAGTTAATGTAAATCTGGACTTAAAACATATGGCTTTCTCCTCCCCCTTTTCCCCGACCTCTGTTTAAACAGATTGGTCATTTCTGTTGTAATTTGTTAAATGCAGTGAGAATATTTCCGTTCTGGGATTTTCTGAACAAATTTCTACAAAATACAAAAGAAAAAGCGTGAAAGTAAACCTGGAAAGCAACTTCTCTTCTGCTGCGATTTATTCCCATCTAAGTAGATAAGGACGGGAACTTGAGATCAGATTGCAGAAGGAAATTTAGCTTGACTACAGAAGATTGAACTTGATCTCAAAGTTAATCATCCTTCTGTAAATGAAGGCAAGTTAACCACATGGTGATGTAATCACAGAAACACTGAGAAAATGAGCATTTATCGTACTTTGTGGCCTATCAGAAATTACCATAAAAGGCAGATGACTTTGACCTTTAGCTGAGGCTTTGACTAGCTGTGTATGTTCACTAGCAGGGGAAAAGGGCAAAAAAAAAATCAGTTTAGAGAATAGTTTCTTCCTTTTCCACTCTGCTTTCTCTGATTTCAGAGTCAGTCTTTGTTAGCGTCAGGTCTTGGAAAAGGAAACATATCCTCTTCCTTCAGTGTTCTCCTGAATTCTTTTTTCTTTCCCCCCTTTTACAGTATGTGGTATCTTAGTGTTGTGTGTTCAGAACTTGCCAAACTGCTATCCAGAACATTGGCAAGTGAGATCCAAAACATGGCTACTTTACTGTTTTCTCTATTACTCAACTCTAATGATAACATACTTTCCAGATTTCGCTTAGCTGAAATGTTGGCTTCAATATCTGTTTGTATGTGTAAATATGGTTTTATTTATGTTTTTACATGTTTAAAGTGGTCAACTTCGGCATCATCTGTTTTCAAGTACATGAGTAATGGGCAGGTGGCAGTTAAATTTATCTTCACATTGGAAAATGCTGCAGCAGTTAGTAACAAAGTGAATTGTCTTTACACTGAGGAAAGAGGAGAAGAGCTTAAGCAAAAATTATCCCAGTGTGCAAAAACATCTTTTTGAAGATACTAGTATTACAATCTTTAAAACAACCCAAACAAATAAACAAACAACAACTGGAAAATATGTGTATTTTTTGTAAGAGAAGGTGGCTAGAACTTGAAATGGTTAATTTTGTGTTGTATATAAAAATGACCGATACTTCATTTGACTGACTACAGTTGAAATCATAACAGTGAATATGTTAGTATCTTTCAGTTTAGGGGTTCATTAAACTTTAAAAAATGGACTTCATATTTTTAAGTGATCTGTATATTGTCCAGTAAAGGGCAGTTGCAGATGTGTCAGTCTGGTCCCAAGGCTATATGAGATTATGTCCTTGTTAGAACATAAAACCATCTTCCAATATCTTACATGAAGCCAAAGCTAAAGAATTTTTTGTAATGGAAGTACTACAGAGTTCTGATGATGTTTCTGTTATTTCACTTGTGATTCACTATAATCTCACTGATTGATTTAAATTAACAAAAGTTATCACAATGATGGCCTTACAATGTTGAGCAGGCACTTACCCTGGCTTTTGTTTCCTTCCTTTTGAACAGATGTTTATTCAGGTTCTCAAAATATACCTTGCAGACTTTTGTCATAAAAAGAAGATTACTGATGATTTGTTCAAGAAGATCCTTTTAGTTCAAGAAAATGTAAGTGGGTTTGTTGGTTAATATTTCAGACCACAGAAAATAAGAGTTGATCCAACCAGTTGGTGTAAGTTGCCGCAGCAGGCTATATCACCTACTCTTTTTAAACAGCAGTGTCATCTATAATCTATTTCAGAAAAATGCAGAGAAACTCCTTTGTTAGTTGATTTTCTCCATTACGTTGTCCACGTTTCCTCCTTCTTGTTGTATGAGGTGATCAGGACAGTAATGTGTCTAATCTGTTAAGAATTTTGTAATCTGTTAAGTATTTTGTAGTTGAATCCATTCAAGCAAACAGAACGTTGTGAATCTTATTCACTCGATTTAAAAATCTCTTAATTATCAGATCTTTGGCTGGTTCCATGTATCATTACTGATAATAAAATAGCAGGAAATAAAGTGCTAGAAGGAAACTCAAGGCTTTTTTTAACAAGAGGAAATATACTTATTTTCCTCTTTATCCTTTTTTTTTCTTCCATATGCTTGTATCAAAATCCATTTTCCACTTCTGAACTAGATAAAATACATTGACAGTCAATATGCATTCAGATGGAGTCACAATACCGTATTTAAGATTATCAGAAGGGAAAAAAAGCTTTACATAACTGAACAGGAGAGCTGTTGGTTCCGCTTTCCATTTTCCAGATTAGAGTCATAGAAAAGTCTGAGTTGAGAACCACCTCTGGAGATCACCTGGTCCAGCCTTCTGTAGGAAGCAGAGAATACTAAAGGCTATCCAGTGCCCTGCCAAGCCAAGTCTTGAATATCTGCACTGAAGGAGACTCCTCCATTTCTCTGGGCAGCCTAGTCCAATATTTAATTCTTCTCACAGTAATGATTTTTTTGTTACATACAGATGGAATTTAGGCATTAAAGTCTATTGGCTTGCCAGCTCTAGTTGTTGAGATTTATTTTGTCCGTTCAGTCTCACAATCTGTGAATGAATATCAAGAATCTCTGTAGTTGTACCTAATAATTTATTTCAGAATGGATTTTGCCTTAAAACCACTCCTCTGCTTTAAATCCTCAGGTTTAATATTAAAATTGATTGTATTTACTAAATGAAAAGTGAGCTTTGGTGTACAAATCCCTTTTTCTGATGGACGTCTGGTAATGACTTCAAATTATAAATGCAGAGGTAATACAGATGAGGAATGTTTCCCAGATTAGCCTAACCCTCAATGAGGCTTGATGGCATTGGTGTCTTCGTGTACCTAACTGAGCTGCTGCAAGACAAATACTAAATTTTGTTTATTAGATGCAGTAATTGCTGGATTAGGTCAGTTATTTAAGTATCAATATGAGATTCCTATGTCCTATATTCTGGAGAGAAGGGTCTTGAAATGTGACAGCCTTAAGTTGGGATATCACATAGGGATGAGGCTGATTATGAGTACCATGTAAAAGAGATGTTGGTAATAAGCTTTTCCTTATTAAAAAGTATGTAATACTGCATTGGCAAGACTGATAATTATATTATTCATCACAGACAGCATTTTCCTCTTTTAGTTCTGCATTGTAAGAAAAATTCATGGGATTTTGTTGAAATTGTTCGTGAAGCTTGACAAAATCTGGTTACATTTCTTGAAGACATAGGGTATCGAGTTAATGCATAGACACCCAAAATAGTGTGATATTAAAAGTAAATGTTTGTTACATAAGGCATGTTTCAGCAACTGAAGCATTCTCCATTTCAGTACCAAGCTACTGAGTAAAGGCAGAAGACTAGTATTTGTCAGTATCATTAGCTTTCAGAAAAAAATCATCCTGGCTTTAAAGGATTGAAAAACTTCAAACGCATATATTCATGTAGCCTATGATTCGTCCCTTATGAGCATTACAGGTGTGTTCATCCATGTGTGCTAGCACTCTGCCGGAAACACTATCTGATTGTCGTATCTGGATACTTCTCTGTGCTTTCGGGTGCAGCGTATACACTCATAGCTGCCATTTCAGATAGGGAACATGCATTAGAGTAGGAAGTACGTGTGGATAGATTCAAAGGATTATTAGTGTGAAAACGCATGAAGCAGCATTTACAAAAACTTGAATTCAGTGGAGATGGACGACAGTCTTGATCGTGTTCACATACTAGTGGAAATGCATGTATTTGTATTGAGTGTGCTTCAGAACTGCCATATATATAGCTTCAGTTTTCTTCGCTTGCTGCAGGAGGTGCGTTACCCAGAGACTGAACTATCTGAACAGTCTTGTTCAGCCTCTCTAGCCATGAGCCACAACTGGCTTACAAATTCAGTCTGAATTTAGAAATGATGTCTGTTTTTCCATTTAACAAATAATTTACTTTTTTTCCAGGATTTTGAAGCATTACAGAAACAACTTGACTCTAGACTCCAGAATACTGAGATGTCAGGAGCCCATAATTCAGAGTACCAGACTCTAGAAGACTTAGAAAGGAAAGAAAGAGAATATTCTGAGCACATAATAGATAATGTAACTTTCTAATTTTTCTCTTTAAATTTTATTTTAGTGTTATTCTTTTGATGGGGAATGCTTTTTTCTTTTTTTTAAACTGTTGTGTTGACTAGTCCACAGTTAGTACTTTAGATGTGCCTGAGTCCTGAAAACATTTTTACTTTGCTCCAACAAAGTATTTCCAGCTCTCTTTGGGAGCCACTATGGTTTTTATACAAACATTGTTTTATCACACTGGGTTTAAAGATGAGAAACGTCTGTTGCTTGTCAGTAAGATTTATTTCAAGCCTAGGTATAGTCTGACTTTTAGGAATATAATTCTAGCACCTTGTTTTCTTCAGTCCTTCATAACTGAGTAAGAGAGTAATAAGAGACTATAAAACATTTTAAGCTGAAATAATTCCTAAGAATTACCTTTTAGCATGCTTTGTACATTTACTTCAGCAAATCATTTTGCCTTAGCAGTTCTGCATATTATAATACATTTATTTAAAAAAAATACATTTTATGTAAAAAAATACAATTTGATAGCCAGCATTTGATTCTCAAAGTGAAGTTTGGGTTTTTTTTTCTTCTCTACAGTAGTGTCACTGTGTCCAAATAGCTTGCAGGCTAGAAGACTAGAGGTTAAGAATATTCTGCATATTATTTTCCAGTAAATTGAGTAATCTGGAAGATATTCTTCTTCCCAGGTCTGTTTTTGAGGTTTGAGCAAATTCACTGCTGATGAAAATGAGCGACTGACTAGTCAGACTGATGGCTCTGTGAGCTGCCTGCACTGATTGACTGTGACACTTCAGCGCTGAACTAAACAGCCCATCGTCTCAGCCTTGGGTCTTTTTCATAGAGGAATTAACATTTTTTAATGTCTAATGGTTAAGTGCTCACTAGGAGTTTTCTCAGCTTTCTTGTGATTCTCTGTGCCTTTCACTGTATAGTGGAAGTCCTGGTAACAATTGTACATCTGTGTCAAGTTTCTTTTGCAGTTTAACTTTGCGCTGTGAAAAATTAAGTGTCTAGAATTCTCCAGAGTCAGTCACATAAAAACTCCCTGGCAGCCTCACTGAGCAGCATGAGGCAGTTATTCACCAGCAGCAGTCATCCTTCAGTGGGTCTGTCACTCTTATGCTAGCAGATGCTTTTCATCCACATTGAAAATGATTTCCGTGTACACAGATTCATATAGATCAGGACTGTGAACTAATCCACTCTTCTTTCAGTAATATAAAGAGCTTTTTTTGCCATACTCACAGATGCCATAGTCATTTTTTTGCAAAACTCACAGATACTTAATACGAAGCTTGGCAATGAATACATTTTCTTATCTTTGTGTGTACTAGTAGTCCCACTGAAGACCACAGAATGTTCAGTTGTGCACAGTTATAATTGTTTGTGGGATCAGAGCCTAAAACTAGAGATTACCTATACAATAATATATTGGAATGAACACATACACTTTGCTGATACTGCATAAAGTATTTAATTCCAGTGCAGTTAATAAAGTGCTTATGTAGCATGTGGCTGTGAAAGGCTTTGATGGTGAAAAACAGTGCCAATTTTCAGTTTTTCTTTTTGAGCAAAAATTTTGTTTGACTGGAATATCTTCTCGTACAGCTAAAGAAATTTCCCAGAAAAAAAGGCTGCAATTTGTTGTCTTTTTTAGTTTTCCCATTAATACTAACAACGTAATAGGCTTTTATAGGTGCAATAAGTGGAGAACTAACAACAAATTCTTAGTGAACAGAACAACTGCATTTAAAAAGGTCAGGATTGACCTGCTGGTTATGTGATTCCATGTTCCATCCTATGATTCTATGTGCCATCAACTATCCTCATATAGTAAATAGGCTCTTTGGCTTTGCAAAATGTTCACTATAACTAATACTGAAAGCTGTCTGTAGTCTCAGTGACTTCTATCTCTGTAGACTCATATGCCTGAAATGAAATACTATGTATATAATTATTATTATATAATTTTTATTAGAGTTATATATAGTAAAATATATATAACTATATTATTACGAAATACTGGATGATTAATGAGGGAACATGGATTATTTTTTTTAATTCATATTCCACAGATGGAAGCTTTCTGGAAGCAGACTGACAAAGCCCAGCAGGCTTTTTTGGACCAATCAAAATGCTCAAGTGCCAAAGCAACAAAGATAACGATGGATCTGACTGAGAACATGATTGCAGTAGAACGCTTATTAAGTGAATCTCAAGATTTGCGGGCAATGGTAAAGTACAAAAAGAAATAAAAGCTGAGGGAGATTTAGACAATCTGAACACGAAGCATGATGCAAGTGTACAGAGTCTGTGAGTCCCACCTTAGAAATGATGTAGAGGGCGTACTACAGTTGTCTCTTTCGGCTTTGTTGCAAAGAGCTCAACTTCCATTGCGATTTATGAAGACTCACAGGAGGTTGAACTCAATGCACTTGAATTCTAATTCTCAAAATACCATTTAGGCAGTGATTTTAGGAAAAATTTATATTAATGCAGCCAATGAGCTGGGAGCAAGAGCACTAGATCTAATGATGAAGGAGAATCAGTACCCTGGGTGTTAGGACATTTCTTTTTGTTTCAAGGTATTTATTCCACTTTGACTTGAGAAATCCTCATTTAAATTTGAGGGTGATTCTGTGTGTGCAATGAGTTTAACTGGAATTTAAAAACTTTAACATCTCTTAGTGATATGGTTTTAAGAGAGAAAAATGTGTTTATAAATGCACCATCACTGTGCTTTGTGTTGTGTTAAATCTAACAGATCCTTTATTTGCTTTGCACAGGACATACTGAAAGAATTGCTTGGAATTTATAGACAAACAGTACCATCAGAATCTGGCTTACTGCATTTATTAGTAATTTGGAGAATAAATGGATAGCAGCTTTATTTGGCTTACTAATAAACAGATACAGTAATTATTGACTTGTTAGTTTTGCATTGGAGCAGCTAAGAAAACTGAGCTGGCCAGGTATGAAAATATTCTTTGCAGCTGATCACACTTGACCCATACCAGGGTACTGTACAGCAAGTTCTTTCAGATGGGCAGACTTCAAATTAGGTGTTTGGATACAGATACAGGAAACACCCCTACCTGCAGTCAACTACTGTGATGCTTACATCTCATTGCAAAGGTCATTGTGTGTCTCTGTTGACTACAGTAGTTGTCATACTCTTTCCAGGGTTGCAGCGTTGTCTAAAGCAGTTGCAGTTTCATCCAGAAAATCTTGCTCCTTACTCTAATCCTGGGCTTCTTCTCTAATAGTGCAATGAAAGCTGCTAGGCCATAGACAGTTGTGCTAATTTTTAGTATATTTAATAAACTCCAGCTGACCATATCCCAGCAGTATCAAAATCAGGTATGTGTCCTCATTTCAAAATGAAGGCCCATACTGGCTTGCTGTGTAGTATCTTGAAAAGTGGCCCAGGACATCCATGTTATCCTTTTGTCCATTTTTCCCCCTTGAGTATTTAAGTTTGTTCTTCAAGCTTGTTGTTATCTTTTCCTGCCTTAATGTCTTCTTGACAGCTACAAATAATGAAAACCACCAATAGTTTTGGATCAGCTTTTGCAACTGAACATGCGATAAACCCACTGCTATCCTATGCCAGGCAAGGTTTTCAGGAGTGTTTAAGTACATGAAGATTGTTATTCACATGGTCTTGAGAAGCATCCGCAGTTTTCTACACAGTTTGGGAATTAATAATTCAATGAAACAACAGGCACAACCAGAGACCCATTCTTAGTTTCTAAACAGGATTTTTTAATGTTTGTTTTAGGACATTCAGGAAAGGTTATTCAGCTGGGAGCTTATGGTGAAAATGATTGATTCACTGAAGTCCTATATACCAGAAGAGTGCAAGTGTAGATTAAATATTGTATCAAATATTCTGGACCATTTAACTGTAAAGAATAATCTGTCAGTCCGACAAAAGGAAGAACTTTTAACGGATCTGCACAAGGCGTTCTGGGAACAGCTGGCACATTTCAGTAATGGTGAGTACTTAGACCAAAGCTCATGACCTAACAAAAATGGATATGAGTTCTCATTATTGTATTAAGTAGTAAAAAAATTATGGCTTTGACCCTATACCCCTCTGTTTTAAGAAGGTGTTGATAAATCGGCCAAGAACACTGTTACTGAGAAGGGTGGATGCTTAGAATAGGAACTTTGGCTTTAAGCCTTCTAGGTCTTGTTTCAGGCATTACTGTGAACTTACTCTACAGTTCACATAATCTATACCTTGCTTCATTAATTTGAAGATTGAAGAAGAGTCACATTTCTTACAAGTATTTGTGAGATTTCTCAGTGTACTGTTCACGTACTTGACATGGTTGGTGATACGGGCTAATATTAGGGACAGTAATAGCTGTATCTGCTCAGAATACTGTCTTATGATCTCCTGCTAGCATGTGGAGCCAGAAGATATCCAAAATGTAGTTGTGCTATCACTATTGTGAAAAGATAATTTTAAGACTTATGATCTTCAGATAAACATCTCTTTTATTATGTCAGACTAAAATACTTTAGGAATGAAGTCTTTTTTCCTTCGTCTTACAGCCCTTCACATTGCCTATCTGTAAAGTATGCAATTATAACAAAGTCTAAGCTGACCAACTAACTCACTGATTTAAGGTTCTCACTGTGTCACTTTGCATGTTACCTAATGCCCAACATATTGAGAAACATACTCTGACTTCTCTGATAGATGTTCTATCAACAGCTCAGTGCTTCCTATCAACACTCAGGGAAAATTATAGAACATGTTTCAAAGGAAAACAGTGAGAAGTATTTTACTCTCACACGTTTTCCAGAAACATTTCTGCTACTTGTTGGCAGATTTAATGAAAACTGTCCTAGCAAAATGGCATCAGGGTTAGAGTTCAGTGAACTGAACAGTCAGAATGAATGTAGTCTTGTTGCAGTGTATTCCTGCTGCAGTGCTGCTCATTCACATTCAGGCTTCATGTTGATAAATTGTGGCATCAGGATTGGACCCAGTATTGACCCCTGGGGTACACCACTCATTACTGGCTTCCAGGTAGACTTTGTGCAAGTTTCCAATCCATCTCACTGTCTGCTCATCCAGCCTATACTTCATCCTCTTCTCTGTGAGGATCTAACAGGAGACTGTGTCCAAAACCTTGCTGGGGTCAAGGTAGACAGTATCCACTGCTCTTCCCTCATCTACTGAGCGAGTCATTTCATCGTAGAAGGTGATCGGAATTCCTATGCTGCAGACTTGCACACTTTAAAAACATGGATTAACCATGTGAACAGTTTGCCGATGCTCACAAATTAATGTATATCATGATACAGATTATTTCATGGATATTTGCTCCTAAAGCTGGCATGTCTAGTTCATAGTCTTTGCATAGGTTCAGCCACTAACTAAAGCATAAATATATGACTGTAGGTGTTTTTTCCCCTTTTTTGTCAAGTTTCTCGTGTTCCAAAGCAAAAATACCTCTGTTGAGGCCTTGATTTTATGCAAAGTACATGTTTATAGTTAGATATAGCTGTGTATTATAATTAGTACAGCCTGTGCAGAAGGGCATTGTCAGCCTCCTGGTTTTAGATAGAAATGAAAAGTGCTTAAAAAAGAATCCAGAGTGCAGCATTTTGACATAAGAGTCTCTGTTGACCTTACTTATGAGCTCCTAAATACGTAAGTTAAACTGTACCTGTAATTCACAAGCAGAACACAAAGCCAGCAAGACTGTGCTCCTAGGAGACAAACAAGGAAGTAGTAAAGAATCAAGTAGTGTTTAAAAATAACAGTTGCTACATTTGTTCAGATGACATTTTTATTACAGGACTTTCAGTGCACTTTCAAATGTTTTGTCAGTGCATCATCAGGCTGTGGATAAACACAATAAATCAGCATGAAGAATAAGTAGCGTGCTCAGTTCTACAGTACTGTGCTCCTTTACTTCTCCACAAAATAATTTCTCATAGTTAAAGCGGCTTGATGTGATGGCAGGACAGCAGCAACAGATAGCTATTTTTTTGCATTCCCTTTTAGCTGCCTGTGTCAGGAGTGAAGTACTGGTCTGGGGCAGGGAGGTTGGAAGGAAAGACCAAAGTTATTCTTAGGTAGACAGGCAATGAGATGTGAAGTAATGGCAGAACATCGTAAGTGCCGATTCTACCCTGCAGCACAGGGTCCAGATAGACACAGGAATTTATAAATCACTTGGAGCTATAAGGGGGATGAAGGGGAGAAGAACTCAGTCCCAAATATTTCACAGTACAAATCAGAGGGACCTTGACAACTTTTGTTGGAGGTTCCTCAATGAGTCTCTTGGGAAGCCTGATATGTCTGTGTGCCCGTTCAAGCTAATCTGAAGTAGCACTGCTCTAGACCTTTTCTCCCTGCCATATGTTCCTGCCCCTGTCCTTGCAGCAGCATTTGCATATCTGCAATTAGGTAATGAGCCACTTCTGGACCTTCCCAAAGCAAGAGGGGAAGGTTTGGGGTGCCGCAGGTGGGAATCTGTATCTTGAACTAACTCACTGGCTTTGCGTAAGCAGCAGCAGCAGCGAAAGGGAGGGTGCAGGATGGTAGCAATCCAAAAACCTGATAGATTTAAGTGCCATGTAACAACCCAAAAGTTCACATCTAAAAAGACTATCAAGGTAAGAGTCAAATTTAAAATCCGGCATGGTAATTACTTGCCTATTTCACTCACTAACAAATTTCTGTGATCTTCTGTTGTGTGACAGTAGCAGATGTTACTTTCTCCCTGTGGAGTTGTGGTATCTAATCATTGGTGGTTTATGTTCCAGAATGTATTCAGCAAAGTAAAGACCTGATCTTGAAACAACTGGAGTGCCGTGCAAAGAGGAGAGAAGAGTTCAAACACAGACAGAAAGCTGAAGAAGGGAATTTTCTCGGTAAAACTTTTCATGTTGAAGGTGTTCAATGTTTTCTTAAGGTGAGCATGTAAAAGCTTATTTTTCACTATTCCATTAGTTTTTAAGGCGAAATATATCACAGATTTATCCTAATTCCATAAAATAGGGATTTTTGGATTGTCCTGAGAATCATCTACAGTAGCACAGGTAGGATAGAATCAGACCTCCTTTTGCCTAGGCTTGCCTAGAGACTTTTCCTTCAGTGTTGGTCTTGTCTTATTGGAACAAAATGCCAAAGGATGTTAATGCTAGATTGCATGTTTTGTAGAAAACATCTTTTACTTGCATACTATGTGTTAGGTTCAATATAGCAATCTCTGGAGGAAAGTATCTGGCCTGCCTTACAGAAGAAAGCAGACTGCACTAATCTAATTGCTTTTCTGAGAGTGAGGTTACTGAGGCTCAAAAGACGATCAAATTTCACATAAGCAGAGGGAAAACTCATTATGATCACTGGCAGGATACCTTAGAAAAGGTTTGCAATAGGTAGTTTAATACGGTATACAATGGCTAGTGTAATGTTTTCTTGGCTGTGTTTTCTATAGGGTTCTATTGTTATTGTTTAGAATGTATATATGAAATCAGAGTTCTTAGCTGTAAATGCTGAGAGCTGCAAAACTCCTGTAACTGCTGAGAACTACAGACCCAAGTTATTAAGAAATAAAAAAAACCCTGAATCCTCAATTTTCATAAAAAGAAATAATGTAAGGTTGAAGTGGTTACATCCAGCAGCACTGAACTTTTGATGAAATCTTATAAGTTAGATAAATTACTGTATGAGAAGACTCAGATTCCAGCTGTAGCAAACTGTCAAAATTTATTGATCTCAACACTGCAATTTTCTACTGCAGGGCCAAGTGCTTTAATTATATTGTATGAATTGGATAATGCACTTACTGTTCTTGTGTGCAACACTTGCCTGGCAACACCTCATTTCAAAACAAAAGGTTTCAGACTACTTCTTTGGCTTTTCGTAACTTGAGACAAATAATTCTGTCACACATTTTTGTAGCCATTGAGCACTTATGAATGTATTTTCCTTATATACATCATTCAAAACTCTTGGACACTTCCCAACTTCATTAAACAAAGCTTAGAAATTTTGTATTAAGACCTCTCCCCTACAAAGTCAGAGCCACACAGCTTTGTGCAAGAGATGCTGTGTTCTGTACACCTTAGAAAGCTAACAAATATGCTTAGTTGAACTGTAGACTAATGATCTGCTTATGACAGGCTGAGCAGGAGTGGGCAACTTTATGTTGCAGGACAGAACACAGCTCACTCTTAGTATTAGGAAATGCCTGTGTGCAAGTAACAAAACAAGTCAGAAATTTAAAGCTTCCTACTGTTGCAGTGGAGACAGGCTTTTGTCGCAGAACAGATGAAGTCTTGAATCCAGAGACTTTTTGAAGAATAAGAAAAATATATATATCTCTCAGCAGTTCCCATGATTTGACTTAAAAGATGTTAACATCTTTGTTGGAGACATGGACAGTGGGATTGAGTGCACCCTCAGCAAGTTTGAAGATGACACCAAGTTGTGTGGTGTTGTGGACACGCTGGAGGGAAGGGATGCCATCCAGAGGGACCTTGACAGGCTGGAGAGATGGGCCTGTGAGAACCTCATGAAGTTCAACAAGGCCAAGTGCAAGGTCCTGCACGTGGGTCGGGGAAATCCCAAGCACAAGTACAGGCTGGGCGGAGAATGGATTGGGAGCAGCCCTGAGGAAAAGGACTTGGGAGTGCTGGCTGATGAGAAGGTCAACATGAGCCAGCAATGT